TCTCTCTCTCTCTCTCTCTCTCTCTCTCATGGGCAGGACATGTATTCTGTGAAAGTAAAACCTCGCACGTTTTGTTTATCATTGCATGTCTCTCTCTCTCTCCCTCCGTTGCGGCGCTTTGCGCTGCCCGCCACGGTCGCCCTGCCCCGACTTTTCCACGCCTCGCTCCTTCTCACCGTGTCACGTCGCTTCGTGCGGCCCGCCACCGCCGCCCTTCCCCGAGTTTTCCAGGCGTTGCGCCTTCCCGTCGCGCGGACCGTCGGCCTGCCTTCCAGCATTTCAGACCCTCGCTTCGCTTCATCCCTGTGGCTCCGTCAGCACCAGTCCCTCCCTTGGACCAGCGGCCCTCCCTCGGGCCGCCCCTTCGTCGCTTTTCCTTGGGCTCGTATCCTGCCGTTACGGTGGGCCCGCTACAGTTTTTATAGCATTATTAGAGATGTAACGATAGTGATTAGGATGATGACTGTAGCATGGAGGTATCTGTCTGGGGGGCAGATTCTGCGAGCAGCCGAGATTGAACCCTTTTAATGATTCCATGCCGTCCCTTTTGCAAAAAAAGAAAAAGACGATTCCGTGCCATCCCAACAAAACAGTCTGTCTTCCTCTCAAGTGGCCCCACCAGGGCCAAATCAATGAATCAAACTGGGGTCCCAAAGGACGTCTGATCAGGGCGAAATCAAGGCATCAAACTGGGGGCTCATGGCCTTCTGATTAGGGCCAAATCAAAGAATCAAACTGAGCTTCTAAAGGCGGTCTGATTAGGGGCAAATCAATGAATCCAACTGGGGTCCAAACGGCCGTCCGATTAGCGCCAAGTCGATAGGCCATGGGATTAGGGCCAAATCAACTAATCTAACTCGGGTCCCAAATTCCATCTGATTAGGGCCAAATCAATGAATCAAACTGTGGTCCTAAAGGCCCAAATCCCCCAACCCAAACCATGTCCTGACAAAGGACCAACCCGCAAGGCTCGCACAATCCTTGTACGGAACTCGAAAGTCTAGAACTCGGGTACGAATGGGCCTACTCTGGGAAGGGAAAGTTGAACCACCAGTAGCCCCAGTACTATCTTTTTGCCCTTGACAAGCCGTGAAACACACTGCGCGCCAAAAAACAAATGAAGTGGCGCGGGCCTTCTTTTGGCTGGCGCCACCAAAGAAAGAAAGGCACTGTAGCCTCGCCTAATCGGCAGAACGAATAGCAGGCTACCTTATTCCCTAGGCTAGTTGGCTCGCTTGGCCGTGCAGCCCAGGCAAGTCGCCAGAGGATCACCTGCACAGGGCACCCTGTGCAGGCAAAAGCTGGCCCTTTTTTTGTTTTGGGGGGGGGGGGTAGATTGTTTTTTAAGGGACTAAAGGGGTTTGAAGCGGGCTGCGGCGGCTGCCTTACTCGGATTATGTTGCTTTCTTTTTTATCTTCGGTTCTGTGAGTAATTCTGATGTGACCCTCAGCCAAAAGTCGTTGCATTGCGATTGTAGGGGGGAAGGGGGGTGTAAATTGTTTATTAAGGGACTAAAGGGGTTTGAAGCGGGGTGCGGCGGGTGCCTTACTTTTTATCTTCGGTTCTGTGAGTAATTCTGACGTG